CTCACCTATGTACTCTTCTTTACTCTGGCAGGAACTGATTCCTGTCTGTTGAAAGTGACAAACATTTTTATCCTACATGCCATAGCTCTTCCAAATGTAGGCTAGGTGAAAAGGTTAATGGATAGATGCCAGTGCAGATCTCTGTATGCTCCTTACTCTTTCAAGGGTTTTAAAAGCCATTTGGGATCACATTACTGAGGCAGCTTTACAAACTGTGCCCTTCAGAAACCTTTTCAATACAAGCAGGGTTGCTGATTTGAATAACAGAAAGAGGGGACAAAATCTAGCACAAACAAACATGAAATTCAACCCAACAGGCCAGCTTATTTCAAATTCTCCACTTTTATTAAACTGTTCTTTCTGCAGAAAGAATTAGCTATGTGTGGGGTTAAATAGGCAAATGTATCTCTCACAATAGCCATGAGTGACAGGAAGCACAAATTATTTGTTTGTGATTCACTATTTGAATATAGCATATAACATTAGAGACATGCAGATACATGCATTCATACAGAAGATGAGGCATGTTAACAACTTCTTTCTTTCTTTCTTTCTTTCTTTCTTTCTTTCTTTCTTTCTTTCTTTCTTTCTTTCTTTCTTTCTTTCTTTCTTTCTTTCACTGTCTCTCCCAGCCCCACTTTTTGAGACTCAAAGAGATTTAGATGAAAGATTGCAGGAAGAAAACCTGAAAGACAACTCAAAACACTGAAACATTTGTTACTTCTACATCTGTGAACACATCTGAACTTAATTATTATGTACTTTTGATCTGAATGTTGGGACTTTCTTTAATTGAACATATTTTTCCCCCTTGAGGGAAAGCATACAAGGTTAGAAATTTCTTATCTGACCCAGCTTGGACAAGCAAAAACTTTGTACATAATTTTAATGTAAACAGACTTTAGCAGTATGCAGTAAATGTATCTTACTGGGACTAGATGGTTATAAATGATTTCTTTCTTAGTGACATTCATAAATTATTTTGAAAATGCAACAAAGTAGTCCCTTTTTCTATTCAAGAGAATGGAAAACTTCACCCATATTATAATCAGTCCTCTCCCCATTCCCACAAATCAAAAAATTGGCAAAAAGGAGATATCAAATCTGCAGGTTGCAAAATGAGCTGTTAAATGACAAGTGATGTTTTGGTTTACTCTGTTTTACATTATGAATGCATATGTAATGTGATCCTAAGATCTTTATTTCAAAATATGTCCTGCTGAGTTTAGGAAAACATATCGCCTAATAAATGTTTATAGGGCTATAATTTTAATGGACTTTGAGGAGTTTGCTTCAGTATTATAATGGAAGACATATTATTGCTTTAATCTTTATAATTACCTAGATGAATTTTTCTGTGTAGATTTCCATCAAAATTGGGGAAAACATGCAAAAACACATTATTTTTTCCTCTTGAAACTTCAGTGTTTGCTGAAAAGTTGTAAAACTTTTAAGGAGGAAAAATCCCCCAATGTAGCTTCCATTTTTATTTTACTTAAATATAAGCAAATGCTGGCTCAATCTGGATCAAGGCTATATGTATAGAGGGCAGGAAAGATTCATCTTTTTTCCAACTTCCGGATGTTTGTTGGTGTTACCAATATCATACGATGGAAGCTGTTCCAAGTAAAGCTGTGTTTTGCAATTGACTGATGCCAAATTTGTCAGTGCCAATGGGGTTCAAGTCGTGCTCCTGCTGTTTTGGGATTGCACCCAAGGTGCCTATTACTATTGGTACTACCTTTGCTTGCCTTTGCCACAATCATTCTATTTCTATTTGTAGGTCTTTGTATTTTGTTATCTTCTCCAGTTCTTTTTCTTCTACTGTCTCCGGGCACTGCCACATCCACTATCCAGACATTTTTGTCTTTCTTATCAACAATTGTTAAGTCCAGGGTGTTATGTGGCAGGTGCCTGTCTGATTGAATTCTAAAGTTCCAGAGCAATTTAACTTCTTCATTTTCTAGACTTTCTCTATTTTATGGTCCCACCAGTTCTTGCTTGCAGCCAATGATATTTCTTGCAGATCTTCAAATGCACCATTGTTGCTACTTTGTCATGCCATTATTTATTAATCCTTGACTCTTCAACATATTGATTATCATTGTTAATTGATGTGTCAGCCAATACCATTGATTAAGACTAAAAATCTTTTCATATCAACTTCTTTTTTTAAAAAAGAAATGCAAAAAAATCATACATACCAGGACTTCATTTACTCAAAAAACAAAACAAACCCTGAATGTAATTAGTAACAGAAATTCATGCTTTTCTTCTACTGCAGTATCTTTTCTGACTAATTGTATAAAGTGAGGGAATAGCAATATAGTGATTGTATTTCAACATCCAATATGATCGGTGGATTTAACGATAGTCCTTATATCCTTCTCTCTCAAATTATATGTCTGATTTTACAGTGGGTGCTACCAATATGTGGAAATATTTCAGCTTTATGTTACAGCTATAGTTTGGTGCTATAGTTTTATTACATGTCAGAAAAGAACTTGAAGTTTTAAAACAATGTTTATAATGTATTATAATGTATTTTAAAAACGAATCATTTATAAACATATATCTAATCATTTCTTATAATGACTGAGATTGCAGGCAAATAATTTCATCTAGTCCTATATTTAAAAGAAAATGTAGATTAATCCCAGATCAGTGAGTCTGCTAAACCATGCCTTTATGCAAACTGGAGAAAGGAGCATCCTTTAAGCTTGCTGGGTAAACAACATTTCTTTACAAGAAATCTTATATTCCTCTCTGTTTAATATTGGTATGCTAGTGTAGAACCTGGAAATATATGTTTGTAGCTTCAGTCATAGGTTCCAAGAGGATAGGATGCTTTTTAATAATATTCTGAAGCTCTCCTTGACTTCAGTTGGAGTAAAGGAGACAGAGAGAAATTGAGAGTGTGTCATAAGACCAAGTTCTCTATTCCTCCCATACACTGTACAGCAGCAATGTCTTCCTTCCAGGCAAACATTTTTCAAGCTGCCTTTCTTTACATTAAAAGTTCATTCCTCTTACATCATGTCACAAGACCCCTGGCACTGTTACAGGACTGTGAAGCTTGACCTAATTCTGTCATTGCTCTGTGGTATGTCATGGTATAAATGTAAAGACTTATTTTTGGACAGATCTTCTGGACTGTAATTTGCTGCCTATCAGAGATGCTTATTATGATGGTGAGGCAAGAAAGTCAGAAGGATTTTAGAGCAGAAAATAAAGAACTCTGCTTTTACAATGCTGCTTTAGATCCATGAACCTTGACATTTAATCATGCCAGCCACATGGCCATCGACAATGCTGGCTCTAGAATTGGATACGACTGGAAAAGGGAAGCCTTTACTTTTTTGTTTTTATGAGATTTCTACAGAGTGAAGCAGGGAGAAGTAGAGAGTAAAAATCAGAAGTGTGTAGTTATGACTTGTGGGCATGAATACATTTTCAAACATGGCTGATGAAATGTGTTGGCTCCACATTTTGGAGAAGGAGTGTGGTGGGGAATGCTCCTTGAACACACAGTTTACATTCTTTCCTTGGTTCCAATTTTTATAACCACTTAAGAGGAAAAGCAGTATAAGTAGAGGGAATAGCTATTTCTATTTACTCATTCAAAGGTGACAGGATAAACAGAAAATATCAGCAAATAAAGATAAAGCAAGGACCTGAAGGCATGAAGGCTGACCAAAGGACAAAATTAAGGCATCTAATGATGCTAATCCTGATGTCTGTAACATCTTAGATGTTGACCACTCTCAGTTTGTCTTAGTCCTCATTCAGATCTTGCTAAAATCTTTAAGCAAATGCAGACATTTTGACTCTACATTCCCTCAGCACCATGATGCCAATAAAATGAAGAAAATATGGTACAATCTTGGTTTCAGTATAATCAATTGTTGGTTAGGTGGAAGTTAGATCAGATAGTTGGTATTACTTTAATGGATGAGAATTTGGTAAAACAGATTAAAGATCAAAATCGAGCACATATAAAGAGAATTTATAATGTTTTAATAGAAATGGATTCGGAAACGGAATTAGTTAAAGATTGTATGGTAAAGTGGGCTCAAAATATTCAAGAACCAATTCTATTGGATACATGGGAGGTAATTTGGGTTAGAAATGTAAATTTTACCCTGGCACAAAATTTAAGAGAAAATTTTTATAAAATGTTTTATAGATGGCATCTGGATCCTAAAAAGTTGTCTTGTATGTATCCTAGTTTACAGCCCAAATGTTGGAGATGTGGTAATTTGGAAGCCACTTATTTTCATATATGGTGGACTTGTAGAAATATAAAAGCCTTTTGGATTAAGATCTGGTGGAACATTCAACAGATTTTTAAGAGAAAGATAAAGTTTACCCCACAATTATTTTTATTGGGTGTTATTACAGATTGTGATGTTAAAGAAATTAATTTGATGTTGAATTTGATAACAGCTGCAAGATTATTAGTAAGGCAATATTGGAAGAAGGATTGCTTGCCTACTATAGAAGAATGGACGATTAAAGTGTCAAATTTAGCAGAAATGGCTAAGATTTCTGCTTATTTGAAGGATCATTCACAAGAAAGATACATTTCGGTCTGGAGAAGATGGATAAATTATATTCAGAATAAATATGGACTAAAAACTTTCATTTAGCTTACGAGTGAATTTTAGAGTATTATTATGAAATTATTATTATTTTTAGTATTAGTATTGTTTAACTATTTGGGGACTGTATTGTTTAATAATTAGGATATTAATTTGTTTATGTTCTCATTATTATTATGTTCACTTTTAATTTGTTTATATTTATGTTAAAGGGGAGTTAAAGTGCATTATGGATTTGGTTATTTATATAGTTGGTAATGTTAGTTAGATTATGATTATCATATTTGTAACCCTGCATTCAACATTGGGAAGTGGGGGAGGGAGAGGGGTTTTTTGGGGTGGGTTAATATTGTAATTTTTATAAAACTTTTTAATAAAAAAATAAAATAAAATGTGATTGTCAAATACTTTGCTGAAGTTAAGATATATTATGTCTACAGCATTCCCACAATCTACTAAGGAAATTACAGAATCAAAAAACAAAATAAGATTAGTCTGATAAGACTTGTACTTGCCAAATAGAAGCAGAATTTTAGTAATATCTATCTTATCACCAAATATTTACAATCTGATCAATCTTTAATCTGCTCTGCAATTTTCCCAGTATTCATGTTTCATTTATGATTTCCCAGCTCTTCATTTTAGTTACTGTCTTATTCCTGCAATGCACAATTTTTTATCTGACTTTCTTATTCTGTTGTGGTTCCACAGTTGAAAGTTATTCCGATCATATTTGACATGCTTTGGCTCAATGCATTCTTCCCAGTCTTTATCACTGCTACTGTGGCCACAGTTCAGGAAACCAAACCTGTATTTTCAATACCATTTACACAGCCAGATATCTGGCTGCAATATTCTTTTTCCATTTCAAGTCTTCTGCTATGGATTAGAAGGATCATTTGAGTTTCAGGTTCTTCTAAAAATGCTGTAGTTTTATACGGTAGACACGCACTTGTTCTTGGGAGCATAATTTGCCCCCATATGGATTATATACAGGGGTAATTGTCTAGGGTCTTGATGAATCCCCATGCTTTTTTTTCCTGTTTCTAAAATCTGTTTTCTGTTCATGCCTTTCTGCACATACTTTCCCCACTATTTTCATCTGTTTAGACTGAAAGAGCTACAGATCTAACATCCTTCTGGGTTATTCATTCAGACTAGTTGCTTGTAAAGGCCAGCATTCTTTTTGCATTTAAACTTGGCCAAGAAATATTTTAAGCAAACAAATAACCAATGTCACTTCCAGACTCATCCATGAAGATGGTAGGAAGAGCAAGGAGCAATACTTTTCTCCAGAACCTGGTATAGCAAATGTCCTTCACATTTCTGTTCTCTACTGAACTTTCTCCTCTAAAAACATTTCCAGAAAGTTGCTTTTCTGAAACAAAGATCATAGTGATAATAAAGTGACAAAAATGAAAACCACCCTTACATTTAGGGCAGGATATCCATTTTCTGTTCTAACAAAAGTACGTTCAGGTTTTGAACAGAAGAGAGTTCACTCTGAAACATGAAGAATATTATAGGCAGTAATGTAACAAAGTCCTATTGCTGAAATATGACTGAATTAAAATATATTCCAAATATGAAGTCTAATTATAGAGAAAATGAAATTCTTCTAGACTTTGTATATTCTTTAAACACAAAAATAGATTTCTGCCATGTTATTTATGACTAAGTAGAAGCTGTGACTTAACCATATATGGATACAATCAATTTCTTTTTAAAGTTTAAATGTCAATATTATTTATTACCATGTGATATATATTCTATTTATAGTGGTTCATCTTTCAGGGGTTAATCATATCAAACAATCCATTTCCTATCAACTCCATCCTAATTTAAAATTTTTTAAAGAAACAGCCGCACTTATTATCTTTCTTTTTTTCCACCCTAGAAAGCACTTGACACCACACACAAACACACACACACACACACATACACCAAATCATGAACAATACCCATTCAACCACTTTAATTTTTGTATATGTTTTTTCCCTTCCATTCAGTCTTGACTCTAAATATAATGTAGAATTGAAGCTGCCTTCTCTCTCTCTCTCTCTCTCTCTCTCTCCCTCCCTCCCTCCCTCCCTCTCTCTCTCTTAAATACAAATACCATTATTCATCCAGAGTAGGGCAGCTATAAGAAATCTCATTCATGATCACCATCATTATCTTCACTGCTTTTAACATCATAAGATTGTGGAGCAACTGATTTTTTCTTTCATTACTCCAGCATCTACCATTATACACTTCTAGTCTGTCATTAATTTTCAGTTGTGTAATGGATTGTCCCTTACTTTCTTCTTATGTGCCACTAGATATATAATTTTTCCCATTGTTCACTTGAACATAAAATGCAACATCAGTAACTGGATGAGGCTTTGTACTGAAAAGTAGTACTGCCCCTCCATAGCTATCCAATTTCACTGGGGCTGGCCTATAATTCAATAATGCTAAACAAATAACTATGTTTCTTTAGGTTTTGGCACCATACATTTAATAACTACATCAGCCAACCTTTTATCTATGGTTGTCCTGGACTTAATGCCTAAATCAGTAAAATGAAGCAAATGCCTTTAAATCCTGGCAGTTAAACTGAGGCCCATTGTTAAAGCAATTAATGAAATGCCATCTCTTCTAAAAAACAAAAAACAAACTTTCATTTTACCTGTGTCAGTCTTTCAAGGTAGGACAGGGCAAAGCATCCAGGAAGGCGGGTAATTGTTATACAGAATCTGGACAGCCTGCCAGAGTTTTTCTCTGACTCCCCTGCCATTCCATACAAATTCAAGGCTGGATTATTTTGAATTTCTTTCTCAAGACTTTTACTTTCTCAGGACAGAGTTCTGTCCCTTCACACCTTCTTCAAGGCTGGCATGGAGATATTCTGGAAGCAGGTACATAGATAGACAGATAACATAAAGGCTTCTTTTGGATCTCAATGATTACTCCTGCAATGATTACTCCTTGCAATGATTACTCCTGGTCTTTTAAACTTCAGTTGACATACCTGTTTGCTCTCATAAATGATCAGAAAGTGGATGTAATTTTTCTCATCTTTTACATCTTTTTACTCTCTCACCATATTAAGAACATGGTACTTCTCAGACGTTTCTACCAGTACCTCATAATTAACTTGCTGCTAAGCAGACAGTTCAAAAGAAGTGTCCAGGTTCAGAGCATCTAGACTTGGGCTCAGTCTGAAAAACTGCTTTCTTAGCATCTGATTGGATAGCCAATAGAGTAGTTAATCCAAATATCATCAATTCTTGCTTGAGTTCTACCATTCTGTAGTAGCTTGTGGTGTTTGTCCTCCTCCCCTTTGCATTTATACTACTGCCATCAACCAATTCTTGGGGGTTTATAGTAACAATACAACAAAATATCTACAGTAGGATAAGAGTGAATTTATTTATTTATGTATTTATTTATTTATTCATTTATTTTCTATCTTTATTATTTTTACAAATAAGTCAAGGTGACAAACGTATCTAACACACTTCCTCCTCCTATTTTCTCCACAACAATAATCCTGTGAGGTGAGTTGGGTTGAGAGTGACTGGCCCAAAGTCACCCAGTTGGCTTTCATGGCTAAGGCAGGACTAGAATTCATGGTCTCCAACTTTCTACCCTATTGCCTTAACCACTACACCAAATTGTCCAATAGTAGTAGTAACAACAAGAACTTATTAAATTTGTCTACTGCTTGACTCTCATCTACTCTGGGCATCTCACATCAATTTATCATACTTGGATGTGCTCATCCATCTCCATTCATGGTCCCCAGGCCCACTGACAAAACAACATTTTTAGGACTTTTTAGAAAAGTAACAGCATGGGGGCCAACCATACTTCAGGGGAATAATGTCTCATAAAGACATTGCTACCTTGAAGAATGCCCTTTTTCATAGCCCTACTAGATGTACATCCTTAATTGTAACATGCCTTGGTTTCCCATCCTGGTGAGCCGGGTGGATGTAATAGGGGAAAGGGAGTTCTTCAAATATATTTCTGTGGTGGAATCTCCAGGTAGAGTGGGGAAAGTGTGAAGAGACTGGCTAGTTTAGAGTCCCTGCACAACAGGAAGTAATGCAGACCTCATTACCACAGAATCCTTGAAACCTTTATCTGATTGTTCCCAAGAGAATGCAGTCAGTCTGGTAAGAGTCTTGTTAACAGACAAGCAATAAAGAACTAACTCTGATTAGTTCATTATGTCGCTCTGGTTCCTTGCACCTGTCACATTGTTACTTCATGAAGATCAACAAATGCTTTAAATATCTATGTTATTTATTAAGAAATAATAAATAGGATTTACAACAGTTCAGAAAAACTGGTAAATTGTCCTCATACTGCAAGAGATAAATAGATGGAATTTTTCTTTCCTCACATAAAAGCTTCTCAGTTAATATCATTCTTCTATGATGGCATAGCTAGTGGGAATTTGTGTCTTTTATAATTCCACTAAGAGGCATTAGGAAGGTGGGTCCAGTTGCTAGATAATTTTCTGACAAGATCCATAATATCAGAGGTGGAAATGTATAAAGTGGTAAGGACAGTGCTGCAGAAAAGAAGAAAAACAACTCTCTGTATTTATCAATTTTTTCCTCCATGTCGCTAGGTGAGTGCTACAACTCCGCAGTGGAGCAAATGCCATACTCCATCTTGAGCAAAGAAAATTTTAAAACATGAAGGAAAGAAGGAGACAGAGAATTTTGGTCCAGGCATGTTTCCCCCTTGGTTTCTCCCTAGAACAGCAGAGCAATCCACTAAAATTACATGAGAGAATTACATGAGAGAAGTCAAGAAGCCATAACTGCAATCAAGAGACACAGCCAAGTGAGTGATGAGGCTATAAATCTCTTTCTCTGAATAACTGGATCAAGTCTACCAACTATCTGAGATATGGGAGCTTTTTACTTCAGATGACTGGAAAAAATGGTAAAGCAGTAAATTTTGGATTTTTTTTAATACAGGGGAGAGACTACATATTCCTAAAATATTCTAATTTAAACAAAAACAGACAAAAAGTGCATGTCAAATTTTCAAATTGGTAATCTTCTCTTTGAGCAAAGATCTTAACTACAACAATAACAAAAACAATGCCTTTAATATACCTGATACAATGCAGTACTGGATGTAATTGTTCTCTTAATTTCTGTAACTGATTAGACTTATCCACCAAAAGCTTTCCATGCAGGAGAACAAATCCCTATGTGTCCTTCTGGATTGATCATGCAAAACCAGAGAATGCTGACTAGAGAAATAAAACCCACATCCAGCTGGGCTTGAAAGCCTCTGGATCCATTCTAGTAATATATGCTGGATATGGGAGCTCCATGGTCAGCTTGATTTGTAGTTAAGGAAGCATGGCATAAAATGCTATAGCCAAAGCAACAAGAACAAGGGCGCTCTGTGCAAACAATAGGCCAAATGGATCCTTGGTGTAGGAGCAGTGGGAATACACAGAGGTTTGTTTTGCCCAAATGACTCCCCAACTGATGCTAATGAGAATCCTTAGCACCATGACTACAGAGCTCTCCATTTAACCCATGCTGTGGCAGTTCATGTGAAAAAGCAAATGAAACATTCACATGAACTGACACAGTATAAAGCAGGGAGTGATAATAAATTGGCTTCCTTCCCTTCTGCCAGAGCTTAGGCAAATGCATCACACTGTTGTTTGGAGTTCTATTATCAGTGTTGCTTTATCCCTTGCACTATGTTCTCCCATGCTGGACAATCACAGGGAGAAGATGACTTGTAAGGTTATCACAGTTAAATGGTATTGTGCATGCACAAATAGTCATGATGTTTTAAATATTTGTTTGCAATTTCAGGAACCTAGAACAAAGTTTTATACAGAAAAATTAACCCTCCAGCAAAATATGTTCTAGGGATATCTCAAATTTTTATGAGTAATTTTATTTAACTGAAGTAGGAGAAAAATAGCATCACCATTTCAGGAACTGGAAGCACAGTGGTCATCACTATGTATCAAATATCTTGACATGCATACAAAATTGTATGATATTTCCAGTTTATTAAATCTGAAGAGTATATAATTTTGCATGATATATACAAAACAGAACACTTGGGAAAATTCAATGAAACTTAATTAAGACACAATTCATCTTTCTATTAAAATTCACCCATTATTGATTTAATAATGGCTTCTAACTTGAGTTACAAAGAAGAATTATGTAAATTCTTGGAAAACATTTATGTGGTTTCTAGTCATAAGAGTTATATATATATATATATATATATATATATATATATATATATATATATATATATATATATATATATATTAAGGAAGAGTCAAGCAAATTGGAATAAATTCAGAAAACAACAACAAAAATTATTAAGGTATTAGAAATGACTTCAGAGAAGAGAGATGGAAAGAACCGGAAATATTTAGTCCCGAGAAAGAAAATTTAGAGAGAATATAATGCCTGAAAAAAATAGATGTTAAAGGCCTGTGTTGCTTCATTACAAAAAGCAATATATAAAATAATAGAACTAAATTACAGGAAGAGAGATCCCAACAGTGATGTTATAATTGTGCTGTAGAATTGTTAGAGATCATCAGACAAAGCAGTTTAACTTCTTCATTGAGTAAATTCAGATAGAATCTATGCAAGCATCATCAGGGATCCTGTAATTTGTATCTTTATTTTGACTGTAGTGTTGGACTCAGTAGCTTAAATGACTCCTTTGGATTCTAAGATTCCATACTTCTCAGCATGAGAATGCCTCTGAATATTAGTTTCTAGGAAACATGTATATGAGGATAATAATATATTTGTGTTCTCTTTGCAAGTCCTAATAGGCATCCAGACAGTCACTGTGAGAATACAATGCTAGATTAGATGAGACTTCTATGTGAACCAGCAGAGTTCCTTCTAAACATAAGAGTTAGTGTGGCACTATTATTGAGGGTGGGCAGTGATGTCTGTTGGAGGTACCAAATAAGCCAAGTTAATGTTTGTAACTAGATGGTCAAAGCTCTGCCCCTACATACATGTATGTGACATTAACACTTGTAGAAATTGGATAGTGTTTTCATTGCATGGGTATTGCCAATTTGATTTTTTTCATGGCATCCAGCCCTCTCAATTCCTGGCAAATAGATGGGGAAGAAATGGAGGTAGTGACAGTTTTTATCTCCCTGGGCTCCAGTCACCACAAATGGGGCCTGCAGCCAAGAAATTAAAAGATGCTTGCTCCTGGGAAGGAAAGCTATGGCAAATCTAGACAGCATACTAAAAAGAAGAAACATCATCCTGCCACCAAAAGTACATATAGTCAAGGCCATGGTTTTCCCAGTTACAATGTATGGCTATGAAAGTTGGACCATAAGAAAGGCTGAACGCAAAAGAATTGAGGCCTTTGAACTATGGTGCTGGAGAAGACTCCTGCAAGTCCCCTGGACTGCAAGGCGATCAAACCAGTCACTTCTAGAGGAGATCAACCCTAACTGCACTTTAGAAGGCCAGATCCTGAAGTTGAAACTCAAGTACTTTGGCCACCTAATGAGAAGGAAGGACTCACTGGAGAAGAGCCTAACGCTGGGAAAGATTGAGGGCAATAGAAGAAAGGGACGACAGAGAATTAGGTGGCTGGATGGAGTCACTGAAGCAGATGGACTCCAGAAGATGGTAGAGGACAAGAAGGCCTGGAGGAACATTGTCCATGGGGTCGCAATGGGTCGGACACGACTTCACAACTAACAACAATAACTAAAATGCATACTCCTGAACATGGCCCATGACCATGTAAATTAACTTGGAAATATTCCTATTTTCTCAAACTAATTATGTAGAACAGTGTTTTGAACATGTGTGGACTTCAACTCCCAGAATTCTCAGCTAGCCACTCTCAGAGAGTTTCTTCAATACATATGATTGAAGGCAGAAATAACACAGAACCAAATTGGTACAGTGGTGAAGATGCTGTATTAGGATCCAACTAATTTCACCCTTAATCATGTAAATTTATTTGGTGATTTGGAGCCATTCATTTCCTCTCAGACCAGAGAAGATGCAATAGAACTTTTACTCCAAGGCTATACCCCACAAATGATTACAAGCAAATAATAAATAGTACACAACCTCATTCCATTTTTTTCATACTGCATCTGAAGAGGCCCTTTTGTACTGCCAACAAACAAACACTCAGCCAGTAATGACAGCAACTTTCAAAAATAATAGTCATATTCTACCATATTATACATAAATATTTTCCTTAATTTTTGTAATGATAAAACTGTAAATAGTCCAGACAGAATAGTAAATTGGCATCATAAAAACTTGGCTTACTTACAGTGGAATCCTTACAGTGAATCTACTGATCACTTGCTCACTAAAACCATGTGAAACCAGATAGACTGTTCCCTTAAAAATCACATTTCAGTTATTGGGAACATTTGTGAAGGATTTTGCAAATGTCAGAATATAAGATTTTGTGTCTATGCGTTGTTTTGTCAGACATCTGAAGTTCCTGCCTTGATCTAGTTCTGACTTGTCATTTTCAAGTTCAAAAGCAATGGGGGAACACCTATCCCAATTCCCACAGGCTTCAAATGTGATAACATCTTAACCTAAAAGAAGAGAAGCTAATTTTCACTATTCTTTAAAGCTCTGGGTATTATGAAACCAAGTCTGTTTATTCTTCTTAGGATGTCTTCCTAAGCCAGTTTGTTTGTCTTTCAAACCCACTTGGTAATACTGGATCCTGTAAACCTTTTCCACTCTTCTCCCTTTGTTTGTGTCTCTGGCCTTTGAAGATACTAGAAGAAATTTTCTTGTCCATCACTGATTATGAATGGCTCTTTGCACTTCAATTTCACCAGTCCTCAAAAATTCTCAAAAACAGACTTCAGTCCCTCCAGCTTGTCTTTGTATAGAACTTTTCTGAGATAGGTATGCATGATTTAGAATCCTAGCATGTAAAGACTAGAAGGAACCTTGAAGATGATGTAACCCAATCCCTTGTTATAACTGAATTCCCTTGCATTCAGTTTCTTTAAATGCCTTCATAAAAGAAGAATCCACCACCTTCCAAGGCTAAATATAATTTGCTATAATCAATATCTTTTAAAAGAGCTTGGATCCTCTTAGGCTCAGCCCAGATTGATAAGGTTAGGCTTGGCTCTATCATTAGACAGGTAGCAGGTACTGAGAGGTGGGGCATGGTACTAAAGTATTGAAGCCAGTGTTAGTTTGCTTGAAATCCTTTAAACTAACTGCCATTATCAAATGCAAAAGAGGGTGCCAGATTGTCAAGAGTGTTAAAGAGCTATTAGTCAGAACCAAAGAAAGAAGGGAATAAGTAAGAAAGGAAAATAAAAGAAGCAAGTCAGAAATCAGTATTAAAATATATCTAAGAATAAAGATAATGTCAGATTTGCTGCGTAAGGAAAGAAAGCTCCAACAGGTGGCTTGTATGGGTAGAATTGACCAAGTTCTAAGTTCACCCCAAAGACTGACCACTGCAAGTCAGTTGGTGGTTCATTATATGTGTACAAGATCCAACAGCTTCTACACAAATATATAAGGATAGAAGGACACAAAAGGCTTTCCCCTTCCCTAGTCACAATTTTTAGACATTGTTATAGTTAAAAACAAAGAGAGAGAAAATTTAACTTTGCAAATTTAATTCTGAGCCCTTTATCCTTTAAGCACTTGGCAAAACTAATCAGAGGAACTTAAAAAAAGAACAGAATATTTTAAGATCAGCTTAGAGCATCAGGTTGCTCTAACCTGATTCTTGGTAGCAAGAAAATAGACAAAGAAAAAATAAAACCCAGGAAGAAGCTAATTACTGAGTTTATAGTTTAGATCAGCCTTTCTCAACATTATGGCCTTCAGGTATGTTGTGTTACAAATTTCAAGATCTCCAACTACCGTATTGCCCAGACTGGCTTGGGTTAATAGAACTTGTTGCAGTCCAGAACAATTGAAGGGAACTATGTTGTATACTACAAAATGGCAACTTTGGAAATTTGGAAACTGGAACAAACTAAGGAGAAGAGTGTGTCTTTAAACTAAAGCCTTGATAGAACTTGGTAGTAGAATTTATTATATTCAAAGTAGTTGATTATCATACTAAAAATGTCTGTTATCAAATGCATTGACAATTAGTTCATCATCTAAGCAAAGCAAATGCAGGAAAACAGATCTAACAACAGATCTGAGGATTTGTTGAAATGAAGGCTAACAGTTTCATCAATTAGTATTTATTTAATAATAATCTTAATTTTTCAAGCTTGAGACTATGATTGCCCAGTTCCTGTCTCTGGATCCCTTTATTCAGATAAGGAAGAGAGATAATTGTCCTCTGAGAATGAAGAAAAATGATACATTCTATGGAAACCTGTTCACCTTTTTTCAGGATCCAATCCGTCAAGGAACAATGGTAAGGGCATGGTAAGGGTAGACATTTTCAGGGTAATATTATGGAATGCTTTGATATTAGTAGCAACAAGACCATATTTAAATGGCCAGGAGGGCCTTCTTGCAGTTTTCAAACCCTAACCTAATATAAACATTTGGATGAAACCTGCTTTCTGTTAGAAGTGGTGCACGGCACAGCCACAATGTCATTTATATTACACTTCCATACCTCTGTTTGATTTTTCATTATACTTAAATGCCAGGC